CCCACGACACATAAATATTCCATAATTTAAATCGAATAAATTACGAATAACGAATATAGAATTTCAAATCAAAGAATTGAATTATATCTAATAAAATAACGTAAAAGATCTTTTTCGAATTTTATTAAATTATTATAATTCCATGAAACAAGAATTTCCAAGAATCCAAAAAGATTAAAACCTCCTATATCGGAGAATCGACATCAAGAGAAATTATCTCATGACGGCGCAAGAGACATATGCTCCCAAAAGCACCAATTAAGCATGAATCCTCCATACAGACGAAAATAATGAAAGATAAATTCTAAAAAATCATGAATCCATAGAAAATTCATTCGTGCAACATGATGCTTCTATAGATATTTTCATTTTTTCTTCTAAAATTTACAATCAATTATTCGATATCTTTCTCAAAAATATTCTCATATGAATCTTGATAGGCAAATATCAAAATTCCTCATTAATATTAAACATTGGATGGATTTTATGAATTCATTTCAAAAATGGACGAGTTTTCTGAATTCAATTCATAAATATGGTTGTGGAATGGAGCGGCACATCGGAACGGAACGGAATCTCTATAGAAGGAAGTTCAAGACTTCTGATGGAATTTGATCATTTTTGTCTTGCCGGTTGTTGCACTGCACAGCTGGGTCTATCTCAGTTCTTTAGGCACTCAGTTCTTTCGGCGCTCGGCGTGAGCATCCTAAACTCCCAAAGATATCAACTTGTTCTGGAGGCTTCTGCTCCAAAGGACACCAGGATGAAAAACCTTCCAAAGTGAAACCTGAATTGTGGCACAACCAACCTTTAGAAGTGCCGGAAGGCGTGCGATATATTGGCAGTCGTCATCCGTGGATATCCCTGCGAAATCTTGACCAAAACCCTAAACCCTAAACCCTAAACCCTAAACCCTAAACCCTAAACCCTAAACCCTAAACCCTAAACCCGAAACCCTAAACCCTAAACCCTAAGATTGGTTTCAAGGCCTTCCGATTCTTAGACAAAGCCACATAGGCAGCAGCCAAAAGCAAGGTGCGCAGCTCATTGAGAACGATCTGGAAATCGAGACGTCGGGGCATAGGCTGAAATTCCGAGGATATGCTTCAATGATGAAGAACCTATCACAATAAGGCCAGGAAGTTCCAGCTACCCGGAAGGCACCAGAGGAAATCTCTTCCAGGCTGAATAAGACTGGATAGCTGCTGTTGGGGGCAACATACTGCGCGCAACAATAGTCCGCACAGCCAGCGAAGCCACCGCCATACAGTAGCCGATTGGTGATGGGATCGCCACCACCCAGTAGCCAAGTGGTGTGTGGATCACCACCGACCGGCCCGGGAATGCTTCGAAAGCTCCATTCCGAAAGGTTCGCGGGATATGGCTCCATCAACCAGTGTGCCGACACATCTGACGCATTCTGAGTCTCCCGAGTAGCAGCCGGGCCGCCGAGGCTCTCTCCCACTGCCAGGTAGCTTTTCCTTGGTAGCCCAGTCTTCCCCCTTATGATAAGGGTACCCTTTTTTTTTTTTTTTTTTTGTAGAAGGGAACCCAGGACCAAAAAAAAAAGGGACAAGGGCACCGCTGGGCTACCGGGTTTCTTTTGGGGGTCGTAGAGCGTCACAATCTGGCCTGCCATGTGCGGCCGGCAAAGTTGCAGTTGTGCTCCTACCTGGCATGCTTGATCTTCGGCAACGGCCCATTGGCAGGGGTCACTTCCTGTGAGATCTGAACAGATGGAACAGAGGCTATACTCGAAATAGTCCCGCGTCAGCAAGCACCACCGCTGTGCGCAAAGCGGTTCCAAATCCTCCCGCTTCTGACCCCGGTGCCGCATCATACAGGCCTGCGCGCAGGAGATATATTGGTTTTTGCTCCGCAGGTAGTCATCATTGCAACAGAATCCCTGGTCGAGGCACTGCTCGTAACACACCTCTTCAGCAGTTTGGAACCGAGCTGGAGCTGTCGTTGTGCTGGTGGAGACGAGTTCGCCATCCAGCCGCCGTTGAGCCGCACAGGGAACTAACAGCCAGAAATGCCACATGGCTGCCATGATTGGATGCAGTTAATTATGGTTTATTACATGCCTGATTCGAAAAGAAAAACATTCTGTGTTTTGTGGGTTTACAGGGCCAAACGTCGCAAGTCTTGATCCACGCTGCAACCTTTTGGCTTCTTGATGTTTTTCTTGGTGGGTCAGGTCAAACTACTCCCTCACTGCAGCAATGCAAAGTCTGGTTTTCGGGACTTTGCGCGCTCAGCAATCCCTATCGCGTGCCGTTGACCCCTAAAGCCCAAACCCTAAAACCCTAAACCACATTCGTTTCAATCTGAAGTCCCTGGCCTTGGCTCTCCAACCCTTGTGACAACTCGGATTAGAGTTCTGCATTCCGTCAATCATTGAGGCTAGAGAAGGGCAGCCCGACGCATAAGTTTAGGGTTTAGGGTTTAGGGTTTAGGGTTTAGGGTTTAGGGTTTAGGGTTTAGGGTTTAGGGTTTAGGTCTCTTTCCTAAGCCCCCAACCTAGAGCCCATCGAGATCTGAGCTACAAGAAGTCCTGGCTTCACTTCGGAGCGGTTCTCTTCCTGCCCCTGATCCCTCCCTTTCCTGTCTCCCTTCCTCTCTCCCTCTCCCTCTGAAACCCTAAACCCTAAACCCTAAACTCTAGACCCTAAACCCTAAACCCTAAACCCTAGACCCTAAACCCAAAACCCCGAAACCCTAAACACCCTTCTGTCGCTTTCCGCGCCGTTTGGTCGAGTCCAGAAAGCTTCGGTTCTTATGATGTGTGCACGCGCCTGACTTTAATACTTTACCTAAGCCCACCAGGAAGCTCTTGTAACCCCTCAGACAAGCTGCCAAACGAGGGCTTTACCCTAAACCCTAAACCCCAAACCCCAAACCCTAAACCCCAAACCCTAAACCCCAAACCCTAAACCCCAACCCTCAAGGCCCGGCCCCAGGGCAAAACTCGAAGCTTTCCGTCCAAACTTGCGGTCTAAACTCTGGACCTGAGCCCTCTTAAGAGGGCCTCTTCCCACCCTCAGGTTTAGGGTTTAGGGTTTAGGGTTTAGGGTTTAGGGTTTAGGGATTGAGGTTTAGGTTTTTTAGGCAACATGGAGGGGGGCCCAAAGCCATCAATTTCAGTATCAAAAAAATGCATGTTTATTGTGGGTCTGAGCAACTTCCTGGGCTTGTGCCGCTCCTTTTGGGGGCCTCCTGGAACCTTTTGGCAAGCTGGGCAAGCCCCAAGCAAAAACCAAGACTAGGGGAGACACCAAAAGACCGCCCCTCCCCCAAAGCAAGGAACAAAACTGTCGCCCCCAACCCGCCCCAAAACCCGCCCCAAAACCCGCCAAAAACCTTCGCCCAAAACTTTCGCCAAAAACTCCGGACACAAACCCTATACAATTTCAAAAAGCCCTAAACCCTAAACCCCCAAACCCTAAACCCCAGACTCCAAGCCTTGAACCCTAAGCCCCTCAGCCCCAAGACCTCAGCACCAGCCCCAAGCCCGCAACCCCAACCCTCAAACCAAGTCCACCAGCAACGTTTAGGGTTTAGTGTTTAGGGTTTAGGGTTTAGGGTGTAGGGTTTAGGGTGTAGGGTTTAGGGTCTAGGGTTCAGGGTTCGGGTTTAAGGCTGACGAGCTCATCGCGGCCTACGTCCGCTGCTCAAAAGAGCAGAATCCTGGGAGACGCGAGGGTTCATGGTACTTATTAACCAATTGTAATAACAGTACTGAAATCTGTACTGAAATCCATGTTAGGGCACTTAAGGGGCTTACAAGTGGGCTGTAAGTACAGTTATAATTGGTTCATAAGTACCATGAACCTCCAAGCAGCCTTATGGGCTGAGGGTGTAGGGTTGGGATGGGTTTGGGATTTAGGGAGTTTTGTCTTGGGATGTGCCCCCTTATACTAACAGTCCTTAATCGGGATTATCGTACCCCCTATTCTCATACAGATGCAAGTGCCCCCTGTGGCAGGCACACAAAGACGCCTGTAGCAACATGGGAACCGCTGGCGCGGCCGTGTGTCAACGAGAAGGCTACCCAAAACTCTCAACCCTAAACCCTAAACCCTAAACCCGAAACCCTAAACCCTACATGGATTTTTCGGTACTGTGCCCTGGGTGGCTAGGCTGCGGAGCTCAAGCCTGGAAGCACTTTCAGCCGCCACCGCAACTTCAGGGAAGATCCCGTAAATCACAGAGGTTTAGGGTTTAGGGTCTAGGGTTTAGGATTGAGGGTTTAGGTTTAGGGTTCAGGGTTTAGGGTATACCGCACAGGTTCTGAACCTAAACCCCACACTGCAACCCTAAACCCTGCACCCACGTCCTCCATCCCAGGTCGTTGTCGAAGTCCCTGCTGCCGCGAGAAGGCAGCCTTTCAGTAGGGTTTCGGGATGTTTCGGGTTCAGGAAGCAGGCTTTGACAGTTTGCGTTTTCTGTGGCAGTAATTTGCCACGAACCCCGCATTCTCGTACTGCTGTGAGACTTCTGGAAGTTCATGCGCATTGCAGGTGCCCTTTTTTGTGAAGCAAGCTCGTCCTCTCATGAATCAAGGCCAGAATTAAGTCCGGAAAATGAGCCATGCAAGGTGGAAAGTGGAGGCCTTAAAGCTTGCAGGCTTAAAACTGCAGCACGGCTGGCAGTCGAGTTGTCACTCACCGACCTCAAGCTAAAACCACGGCTGCGACGACGGTCGTTGGCTTTACCAAGTCCGTGGCCGCACGCGAATGGTGATGTGCTCAACTGGGTTGTTGGCTGTAAAGGTTAGGGTCTTTTCAGGCTCCGGCTTCTCATACGGCATGAAGTCAAACTTCTGGACAACCTAGACCCAGGAGTAACCCTAGGAATAAAAAAGTGTACCTTTTTTTGGTTTTAAGGGGATGATAAGGGAACCCCAGCCCTAAAAAAAAGGAAACAGCGACCTACTCCGGGTCCTAGTAGCCCGAAACCCTAAACCCTAAACCCTAAACCCTAAACTCTAAACCCTAAACCCTACACACTAAAACAAGGGACTCTTGCGATGGCAAGCAAGCCCTCGTACTCCGCGAGCCGCATCCCGAGACAGATACGAGGCCCGTGCCCAAAAGGCAGCGTGTCGAAGGGCGGATGCTTGATGATGCCTTCGGGTCTAGGGTTTAGGGTTTAGGGTTTAAAGGTTAGGGTTTAGGATTCCCCCTTATGCTACCAGTCCCCAATAGGAATTATAATAGGGGGGCACGAGAATCCCTATTAAGGACTGTTAGTATAGCGAGGAACATGCCCGCCTTCGGGCCCAAGCCATCGGGTAGGGCGGTAGCTGCGCAAGTCATTACCGAGCTTCGTCTTGACTTCAGGATCGTTCATCATGAGGTACTGCATCGGAACGGTGAACTGTGTTCCAGGTGGCTGCCTCTTGCCCGCCAGTGTGAACTCTTCGTTGTTCTCGAAGCAAAGAAAGGCCGCTGGTCCCGTGGTCCGAAGAGTCTCCAACCACACTGCACGAACCTCTACATTTTAGAATTCCCTTTTGAAAGAAAACCCAAACAACCAAACAAGCAAAACACAGAAGGCAACTTCCCAAGAGCTACAGAGGAACCATGTGTAGCGACTCCATCTGCTCCGTGGAAAGTTCTCCTTCCGGCAAAGAGCGGACTTCCTCGGCCACCTGCTTCTGCAGAGCTTGGTCCTCTTACTGTTGCTTCGTAGGGCATGGGGGAATGAGGTACCCATATATCCCTTGAAGGGCATATAGGGGAATAAGGTACCGTGTATCCCCTTTTCCTTTAAGGGATTATGTATGGTACCTACTAACCGACAGCAAGTCCTTGGACAGGTGGTAGAAAACCCAGCCCAAGGCCGTGCTCGTGGTGTCTGTCCCGGCAATGAGCAAGACGAGGATGTTGTCCAGGAGTTCCCGGTTTGTGAACTTGTCACCTATACTCCCCATAGAACCTGAACCCTAAACCCTAAACCCTAAACCCTAAACCCTAAACCCTAAACCCTAAACCCTAAACCCTAAACCCTAAACCCTAAACCCTAAAATAATTCCCAAGGGGGATATAGTCACCCTCCATTGCCCTCAGCTTCTCCGTGATGCTCTTGCCACCGCTGTTGGCCAACCTCCACTCCCCCTTAGAACCTCAATAAAACTAGTATTTTTAAAATCCTCTTGGGTGTTATATATATATAATGGTACTCTTAATAAGAATAGTATTTTTAATATCCTCTTGGGGGTTATATATATATATATAATAGTACTCTTAATCTCCTCTTGGGTTTCGGGTTTAGGGTTTAAGGCTTTATATAAACAAACAGAAAACATAATTCTCAAGGGGGGATATGGCAACTTCATGGTCTCCTCAGCGCGCTGGTCAAACTTCTTCTTCATCTTGTCTCCGTCATCAATCCACGGTGCCAGACCCGGAACCTTCCAGTAAGGGAAGGGGGCGAACATGCGCGTCTGCACGGCGTCTGCGAGAACCTTCATATCATCGATGAGGTCCGGGCTACGAGCCTGCAACAAGTTGAGCTCATGTCCAAGACCAGTCTTGCAAATGACATCAGCCGTGTACAAGGGCATGAGCTCTGTCAAGTCCACTTCCTTTCCGGCTGAAACATCTTTCTCGATCTCCTGAAGGAGTTGCTCTGCCACACACTGCACAGCGGGGATAAGGCTCTCCACGTTCTTGGCGTTGAAGGCGGGGGAGAGGATTCGCCGCTCGCGCTTCCAACGCTCTCCCTCCGAGAAGAAGCTGCCCGTGGCGAGCGAGGTAACATTTGCAAATGCACCTAGACCCAGGAGTAGCCTAGGAATAAAAAGGGTGCCCTTTTTTGGTTTCCGGGGGTTACAAGAGAACCCAAAACCTAAACAAAGGGAACAAGGTCGTAACCCCAAACCCTAAACCCTAAACCCACTCTGGGTCCTAGGCGCTGAACCTCTCCATCTTAAAAGGGCGGAGACCGAGAACCACCTTGGCATGTTCCCAGCTGCAGCAGCAGACTGTGCGCCAGCCAGCGAGGTTGTACTCAAACACGCCCTCCTGCCCGTCTCACGTCTTGAAGACAGCACCTAAACCCTAAACCCTGAACCCTAAACCCGATAAACCCTATAAACCCTAAACCCTCACGTCTTGAAGACAGCACAAGAGCAGACATCTCAGAGCAGAAAGGAAAGACAGGGAGGGACTGAGAGAGCGAGCAAAGCGGTGTTCTGAATTCCTGTTTGTGCGACCGATAAGGAAGCAGAACCTAAACCCTAAACCCTAAACCCTAAACCCTAAACCCTAAACCCTAAACCCTAAACCCTAAACCCTAAACCCTAAACCCTAAACCCTAACCCCTAAACCCTAAGCCCTAGACCTTGGTTTCGAAGGGCCGTTCCGTGAGGCTTCCGAAAGTCGGCGGGTGTTACAATGTCGCGTCGCGGGCATCAGCTTTGATGTCGTTTCTGCGCATCGCCTCTTCAATAGGGTTTAGGGCTTAGGGTTAACGGCTTTTCACAGGCTTTTCGAGACCTTGCTTCCACATATAGGGTTCCGGCTAGTTGGGAGGATGTGGACAAAAACTGACGCTTGAGAGATTGAGCTTTGGCGACATACATCAATCAGAGCAAGGAGACGAACGTTAGTAGCGAGCTCACATGCACCGGAGATGCTGCTGACCTGCGCGCCCTGAAACGTGCCCTCGGCTTGTATGCATCAGCAATTGACATGATAACCGCGACCAAAATGCATCACCCGAATGCAGGCCTTCTGTGCCTGAATCGTTTCCGCGGAGCTTCTGCGTGCTTCCATGCACACAGCCCGGTCAACAATTTCTCACGTCCGAAAGAAGTCTTCTTGCATACCACAGTCATCTGTTGAAGAAGCCCCAACTTAGGAGGCTGCCCCTCTACTTGGAGGTTCATGGTACTTATTCACCAATTTTGACTGTACATATAACTGTACTTCTAACCATATTAGGGCACCCCCTTACAAGTGAGTTAGAAGTACAGTAATAAAAACCCTAAACCCTAAACCCTAAACCCTAAAATTACCATGAACCTCCCAGTATACCTTTAACTCGTTCATACATTTGCTAGAAGGGTGTAGAGTGCTTCGAGTCAACAGCCGGCAGTTCGGCTTGCATACGCTTCGATATATATGTATCTATATCTATATATACATACATAGACATATATATATATATGTGGGTAGATATATATATATATATGTATATGGATATAGATATAGATATAGACATAGGTATATATATATGTATATTTCGGAGCGATGTTTTGAAGCATCAGTCCTCGCCATATTTGTCGGACCACTCAGCGATTTTCTCCGTGAGTGCCTTGCCGTAGCACGTTTCCGGAAGGACACCGAGGAGCCACACTCCTGGAACCTGCCGAAATCGCTCAGGCCGGGATTGGAGGAGGAGCCTGGGCATTGCTGGACGACCACAAAGCCAGGTTTAGGGTTTAGGGGGGCTTAGGGTGTCGGTCAAAGCACGCCAGCAAGCTGGGATTAGGGCAACGATTAGGGTTTGGGGTTCAGCAAGTTTTGCTCTAACTTACGCGCTCGAAGTTTCTATGAGCCACTACACTACACTTGGACACAGGCTGCTTAAGCTAACGCCCCTGCGAAGGGGGGCCGAAGTGTTTGCAAAGGGGTGTGTGGCAACAGTTAATTCTGATGTGACATTCTGGTTCCTGACACACTGCCTCTTCAGAAGCTTCTCAAGCTTCAGGGCAAAGGGTTTAGGGTGAGGGTTTAGGGTTTAGGGTTTAGGGTTTAGGGTTCAGGGTTCAGGGTTTAGGGTTTAGGGTTTAGGGTTTAGGGTTTAGGGTCTAGTGTCTATGGTTTAGGGCAAGGGTCTTGATGGCGAGAAGAGATGCGCCAGCCCCGGCCAAGGCCGCTGCAAGCGCCCGGCGCTCGTTGACCATCTGCAGGACAGACTGCATCATGGAGGCTCCTCAGTGCGCTCTTGTACATAAACCCTAAACCCTAAACCCTAAACCCTAAGCCCTAAACCCTAAACCCTAAACCCCAAACCCTTAACCCTTTCCCTTAAGAGCCCTATCATCAGCATCCCATAGAGCTCTCGTGTTCTCTAGAATTTAGCCCTGCAGGCTCCGGATTATGAGATTGGCCGCCTTCTTTTGGGGATCCCAAATTTAAACCCTCATTTAGAGCACTACCCATATGCAATAGATAGCACCATGCAACAATGTGCAAAAGGCAGCCTGTCGCAGTTCTGTTGACTTTAAGAGTTGAACTACGTGTCGGGTGCCGGACTGATCTGGTCCATCGATAGCCAAGCGTCGCGGAAACTCTTGATGGCTGTACCGACGTCTTTCACGGGTTGCCTGGATACTTCCTTGAGCCTTGTGGTGCTACAGGACACCTACGACCTTGTGCTGCGTGTAGACATGATCTCAAGGCAGGCCACCTGCACGCATCAAAGATGGCGGGTTTTGCTTCATAGCATCAAAGGAAGAAGCTGAATTACACGAGTAAGCAAGTCAGCAGTCTCCCTGTTTCGAGATGCTGATCACCCATGTTTACCAAGCATAGCATTCCTTCCCATCTTCGGGTTGCTGCCATGTGCAGGGTAAGCATTCCTGAACGTGACGGCAGTCTTAAGCAAAGGATCACTGAAGGAGCAACGATTCTTCGTGGGTAGAGACTGAGAGCGTCCAAAGCCTAAACCTCTAAACCCCCCTTAAAACCCTCAAACCCTCAACCTTTAAACATGTAAGCCCTAAGCCCCAAATCCCTGAAAACCCTGTAAAACTGAAAAACCTGAACCCCTAAGCCTTAAACTCTTAAAACCCAACATGTCGTGATCCCTGGCCTGACATGCTCTGAGTTGTTCTGAACGCGAGATCCTGAGCCAGAAAATTGCTTTACGGTTGAAGTTTCAGGGTTTAGGTCTAGCTCCTTGGTAGGATAAGGGGGACCCTTAAAAGGGAACCCCTTCTGAACCCTCTTCTGGCTCCCTTAAAAAGGAACCTTATTCAGAGGGTCTATGTCCCCAAGGGTCCCCCTAATCCTATCCCCTACTAGCTGGGATTAGGGTTTAGGGTTTAGGGTCTGGCTGTGGGACTTGCTTGGCCGAACCCAAACCCACAAACTCCAAACACGCTTGGTTGAACTCTTCCAAGCTCTTGCTGCTTGTGCAGGGGATGTCACGGACAAACGGGCGGTTCATTCTGCTAATGTAGATGTCTGAACCCTAAACCCTAAACCCTAAACCCTCAACCCTGGATGTCTAAACCCTCAACCTCAAAGCCCGAAAACCCAAACCAAAACCCTAAAGACTCTCTGCGCGATGCGGGTCTGATAATATCCCCATGGTTGGAGTATAAAATCCCTTCAGCGTTCGTTTCATCTCTTTGGGAATGGCCTGATGATCTAACTTGTTCGCCGTTGCCACTCTCGCTGCAGAGGCACCCTGAAGGCCCGGGAGCCCGTCCGGAAAAATTTCTGACCTTAGCTTACCTCTGGAGTAGACCCGGGAAAAAAAGTATGTACTTTTTAGGTATAAGTAGCTGTAATAGGAACCCTAAACCAAAAAAAGTATTAAAGTATAGTACTCCAAGGCCCAGTTAGTGGGGGGTCCATCTGGGAGCTCACGGGCTCTGCTGCATGTGCCGCATGGCGGGGCAAACCATATGGCGATGACTCGCGGGTTTCGGATCCCAAGTCAACAAGAACGGGGCGCGCTGTGGCGTTAGGGTGCAGGGTGTGATCGAAGGCATGAGCTTCAAGGCCGCGCCGGCGAGCAGCCGCGGCAGTGCGGGACGTGCCACTGAACACTTCGAGTATGGTTGGCTTGTCACCTGGAGGTGAGGCTACATCCCCCACGGAACGTGGGGGCTGAAAGCCAAGGGAACACAGATCCGTGCGATTGTCAGCAGAGAGCTGGGCAGCACAGCCGAGATTGTACGCAACAAGGACAACTCGTGAGCCCTCCCAAGGCTCAGTGGCATGCCATTTCTCCCGTGCCTGCACATACAATTTGCCATCCTGAAAGTTCAAGATTTTTCCCAAAGTGGGCTTACCCGAAACCAACCGTTCGACGGAACCACAAGAATCCTCTATCCAAAGACCTCCCCCTGAAAAGGAAGACAACTTCAAGACCAAATTAGGCGTATTTTCGTTCTGAGTGTCACGATGCGGCGGCGAGGCCGTGTTGAAGAAGACTGCGACCGAAGTGAAGACGTGTGAAGCATCGCACTGACGAACATAAGCCGTCAGCGCCTGGATCGACGCGCGAAGGTCATGCCGTGAGGCGCGTAGCCCAACAACTCCGCCATGCCGGTACATGCCGGCAGTAAAAGCAGCATCTGGGGACCCATCACGCATGGCCTCACGAGGTAACATCCACACAAGCTTCTCAACGTCTGCTCGTGTTACGCACTTCTGCTGAAGAAGCCAGGCGGCGAAGGATTCGGGACTGGAAGATCCAGGAGAACATATTTGTGAATTCGATGGAGCCCCTTGAGGGCTGGAGTGTTGCACAGCTTGACCCGACGCAACAAAATGCAAGTCGGCAGCTACCGGTCCGACCCCACCCTCAGCGGCGGCGCCATCATCATGCGCAGCAGACTCTTCTGTACGCTGGGCAGGCCCTAGTCACTTATGGTCCTTGAAGCATCGGGCGCAGACATGCAATCCCTTCGGAGCAAATATTCTTCCCATCAGGGGTTCGGGAGACCCCGTTGCGCGACCTGATTGCCTCAGGCACCCAGTCTTATGGATCGTTCTCTAAATTAGGTTCCCTTTTTCGTTTTCAACAACGGGCGGCACTCTTGAAAAAAAGGCCCTAAAAGGGGCCCCAATTTAGAAATTCCCCGTCTGAACCCAAAGAAACAAGTATCTGTGTTGCTGAGTTCATAAGCCCCAAAAAGTCTATGCTTTCAGTTCAAAAGGGAATATGAGTCTCCCAGGGAACAAGCAGCCAGAACTGCCACATGGCTGAGTCGAGCGGCGAGTGAAAGCATGGTTGGAGGTATGTTCATCATTGTGCCCTAAACCCTAAACCCTAAACCCTAGACCCTAAACCCTAAACCTCTAAACCTGTGGCTCAGCACGTGCTTGATCGAAGAATCAATACTTCTCAGTGCTTTGTGGGTTCCAAGAGGGGCCAGATGCTGCACATCTTGAACTTGTGCTGCAAATATTGGTTGCGGTTCCTTGGCTTGGTTGGTCAAACGGGTTTAGGGTTTAGGGTTTAGGGTTTAGGGTTTGCTCCTTGACTGCGGCAACTAGAGCCTGCCCCCAGGATTGCGCGTTCAACAATCCCTATCGCTTGCCGTTGCATCCCCCAAACCCCAAACCCCAAACCCCAAACACCAAACCCCCAAACCCCCAAACCACAAACCCCCAAACCCCCAAACCCTAAACTTGCCCCAAACCCTAGGGTTTAGGGTTTAGGGTTTAGGGTTTAGGGTTTAGGGTTTAGGGGTAGCCCGACGACGCTACCAGCCTGGAACTGAAAGCCATGGAGTGGACAAGTGCAGGCAACAAAAACGAACCAACACCTTTAACGTGGCGGACAACGGGCCTCCATGGTTACTCCGCGGCATTTTCCGTCTTAGGGTTTCGGGTTTAGGGTTTAGGGTTTAGGGTTTTAGGGTTTAGGGTCTAGGGTCTAGGGTTTAGGGTTTAGTGTGTCGAGGGAGGGGAAGAAGGACCTAAAACCCTACATTCTACTTCCTGAATCACGAACCAACAGGGTCGGGAACTGACACTGAAATCTGAGCTACCAGAAGTCCCGGCTTTACTTCAGCCGGAGCAGTGCTCTTCCTGATTCATGATCCCTCCCCTTCCTGTCTCCCTTCCTCCCTCCCCCCTCCTTCAACCCTAAAGATTCTTCTTAATGTACTCCTGATGTGGCCATCTTATAAAGGGTCCCCAAAACCCAAGGGTACAACCTTCAGGGTTCAAGGAACCCCTAGAAACCCCTAAACCCCTAACCCGAAAACTCTAAACCTACCTCTCTCGCTCGCTCTGTGCGCCATTTTCTGCCTCCTTCCAGCCAAAGGCCACGGGTCGAGAAAACTTTGGTACTGATGATGCGTGCGCGTGCCTGACTTTACCCAAGCCAATCAGGAAGCTCCTGAACCCCCCTCCAAAAGCTGCAAACCCAGCCCTAAACCCCATACACTCCCACAAACCCTATAAACCCTATAAACCCCTATAAACCGTATAAACCCAACAAACCCTATATAAACCATATCAGCCCTATAAACCCCATAAACCCGATGAACCCGATAAACCCTGAACTCTAGCTCTCTCTCTCAGGAGCACGTCTGCACCGCTGCGAAATGGGGGCATCTTCAAACCCGAGTTACATTGAGCGCCATCTTCGCCAGGGTGTAAGAGTTCAGGGGTTGAGGGTTTAGGGGTTTAGGGGTTTAGGGGTTTAGGGGTTTAGGGGTTTAGGGGTTTAGGGGTTTAGGGGTTTAGGGGTTTAGGGTTTTAGGGTTTAGGGCTTAGGGTTTAAGGTTCAGGGTTTTGGGAATCAGAAACGCTCAACCTCCAGCCCTGATTAAACCACGCCAAAACCCCACACCCAAAACCCCGAAACCATTAAGCCCTTAAACCCTAAACCCCTAAACCCCGAAGCCCTAAACCCTGAACCCCTCAACCCCTAAACTGTTAAACGCCGAAACCCCCTAACCCTAGCACTAACCCTAAATCCCTAAACCCCTTAACCCTAAACCCCTGAAGCTGCCGTGACCTCGGAATGAAAAAGGAACTGCCTCATTGTGTTGATGCAGCTTTAGGGTTCGGGGGTTTCGGGTTTTCGAGTTTAGGGTAAGAGAAATTTGTGTAGGGTGTGGGTCCCTATAGTGTTGGGTCCCAGTAGTGTTTCGACCGAAACGCTTCTTGCTTTTGGACGGTAGGTTTTATTCAGGGGTTCAAGGGGGGCTTTTTGGGTGTTTGCAGGCTTTTCGGGGCATCTTGGAGGCATTTTGGGGGGCCCGGCGGAGCGGGGGGGGGGGGGGGGGGGGAACCCGAAAACCTAAACCCTAAGCCCGAAACCTAAACCCTAAACCCTTAAGGGCCTCTTTTGGCCTCCCAATTCATGAACTTACTTCGATTCGTCTTGCCGGCTGTTTATACAACATAAACAAACAACTCGAGAACATTTCAATCGTATCACAGACAAGTTCTACTCATTTTGTGCTGAGGGTTTCGGGATTAGGGCAAGAACATCACTAGGTTCCAAGTCAAACCTTTCGGTAAACACGTTTCGGTTAAAACTTTTTGGAACCCAAACCCTATACATTTTCACAAACCCCACCCCTCAACCCCCCAATTCCCCCCGATGTGGGTCAAGGTGTTTAAGGGTTTAGTGTTCGAGTTTAGGGTTTCTAAGGGGTTTGGGTTGATCCAGGAGTTACCCAGGAATAAACCCTGTGCCCTCTTTGGTTTCCAGGGGACTGTAAGGGAACCTAAGACCCCCTAAAAAAGGGAATGAGGGCCTACTCTGGGTTCTAGTGAACCCTAAACCCTAAAGTCCTATATCGTGGAGCCCAGAATCCTATAAGTGCTCGAACAGGAAGGCGCAACTCGGGTTTGACGGCCGCGGCCGAGAAAACTGCGTGTCGAGCGGCGGGGAACCTAAACCCCAAACACTATAAACGCTATAAACCCTATAAACCCCATAAACCCTACAAACCCTATAAAACCTAAGCCTCAAAGCCGCGGTTCTTCAGGTTTAGGGCTTGGGGTTCACAGCGTTTAGGGTGCAAATTACGCTTTGGGGTGCAGTGTTTACGAGGTTCCTAAGGGTCTACTTGGAGGTTAATGGTACTGAATAACTCAATTCTAAATGTACTTATGACCACTCATAAGCCCTTTAAGTGCCCTGATATGGTTATAAGTGGGTCAGAAGTACAGTTATCATTGGGTTTTCAAGTACCATGAACCTCCTAGTAGGGGTAGCCCTGAACTCCATACACAGAGAACCGAACGTCTCCCTTCTAAATGCAACAGGGAACAGCCTCAACCCCAAAACCCTAACCCCTAAACCCTAAAACCATAGACCCCAAACCCTAAAATCCAAAAACCCCAAATACCTCGAACCCTAAAACCCTAAAACCCCAAAGCCTGACCCCAAAACCCTGAGACCGAGACTCTAAACCATACCCTAAACCTAAACCCTAAACCCTAAACCCTTAACCCGGAACCCTAAACCCTGAACCCTAAACCCTAAACCCATGCAAGGGGTTTCCTGCCGCTGTAGGCCTCCTTATTCCTGTACCTTCTCAGAAGAACTGCAGCAGCTCCTTCGCGGGTTTAGGGTTTAGGGTTTAGGGTTTAGGGTTTTAGGGTTTAGGGTTTAGGGTTTAGGGTTTAGGGTGTAGGGTTTAGGGGTGGAGCCCTCCCCTCCCTGCTGGTAGGGGCGCAGTTCTCCGCAGAGGCTTATGACCCCCAAACCCTCAAACCCCAGGCCCCCGACCCCGAAACCCCTAAACCCCTGAAGCCCTGAAGCCCCAACCCCAAACCCCAAACCCCAAACCCCAAACCCCAAACCCCAAACCCCAAACCGTAAACCCTAAACCCTGAACCCCAAACCCTAAACGTTTGGCCACGAGGATAAAAAGGCCTTGGAGCCGCTGATGTAGCTCTTCCTGAGCTTCGGTTCAGACTAGGTTAGGGCTTAGGGTTTAGGAGGTAGGGTTTAGGGTTTAGGGTTTAGGGTTTAGGGTTTAGGGTTTAGGGTTTAGGGTTTAGGGTTTAGGGTTTAGGGTTTAGGGTTTAGGGTTTAGGGTTTAGGGTTTAGGGTTTAGGGTTTAGGGTTTAGGGTTTAGGGTTAGGTTTAGGGTTTAGGGTTTAGGGTTTAGGGTTTAGGGTTTAGGGTTTAGGGTTTAGGGTTTAGGGTTTAGGGTTTAGGGTTTACAGTTTAGGGTTTAGGGCTAGGGTTTAGGGTTTAGGGCATTTTCCAGACGAGCCAGATAGAAATCCGACACAAGGGACCTTAAACCCGACACGCCAACCCCAGGCCCTCGATAAACCCCATCGGAACCTTGCATGCTCTCATCAGCTTGGAGGTTCATAGGGTTTAGGGTTTAGGGGTTTAGGGGTTTAGGGGTTTAGGGGTTTAGGGGTTTAGGGGTTTAGGGGTTTTGGGTTAGGGCTTATTGGTACTTATTAATAGCTGTACTTTTAGCCCACTTACAAGCCCCTTAAGTGCCCTGTTATAAGTACAGTTACAAATACAGCTATAATTGGTTAATAAGTACCCTGAACCTCCAAATAGGCAGTCTTCATTCTTCCTTTACAGTGCGCACCGACGAAGCAACTCGGCTCCAAAAAACTTGCAAAAGGGAATACGGGCCTAGTCTGGGTCCTAGTTACCCTAAACCCTCCTAAACCTAAGCCCTAAGGAAAGGGTATCAGGGCCTACTCTGGGTCCTAGTGTTGCAGCGCTGAGAAGGTTTTTAGGCCTAGGGCCGAGAGTTTCTTGGAGGGTTTAGCTTTTAGGGGTTTAGGGTCTAGGGTCTAGGGTCTAGGGTTTAGGGTTTAGGGTTTGGGGTTTGGGATGTACGGCTCAGGGCTTAGGGTCTTTGTCTCCGGGCACCAGAAGAACCCACGCGTGCCCTAAACCCCAAACCCTAGAACCCTCAACCCTCAACCCTCAACCCTAAACTCAAGGCTTAGGCCGCCCCCCCTACAGTGGGCGGCGCCTAAGCCCCTCGATGCAAGCCGACCCAGGTCCTTCGCCCGCCTCCCACAGCTCCCTGAGGGTTTAGGTTGGGTGGCTTTGCCGCCTCGGACGGCGTGGGGTGGGAGAAAGGTGTTAGATGGCCCTCTGCAATCGGGCCAGAGCTGCTATTCGCGCTTCACGAAGCTTTCGAGCTTGTTCCAAAGCCGAACCTTCACAGCATCTACGCCCAGTTACAGCCAAACCCTAAACCCTAAACCCTAACCTCTAAACCCTCAACCTTAGCCCCTAAACCCTACCGATGCCCAAGCTTCAGGGACGAGATGATGCGCTCGTTGCGCTTCTCTCCCCTTGGCTTCTGCACGCCACGCCTGGGGGAAAGTCGGCAGTACTGGGGTGGTTTAGATGAAGATTATGGGTTTAGGTTTTTGGGTTTGGGGTTTAGGGTTTGGGGCTTCGGTATAGGGATTCAGGTAGTTTAAATGAAGATTCTGCTGTCAGTTCTCAAAATTGTGGTCCCCTTTTTGGGTGTCCGAAAATATTGACTTAGAGAATTGACTTCAGAGGTTTAGGGTTTAGGGTTTAGGGCTGAGGGTTTAGGGTTTAGGGTCAGAACTGATCATGTGTAGGAATCCTAAGGGGGGAAACTAGTCTTCATTAGCCTGCTGCATTCTGGGCTTCGGCTCGCAGGGCCATAGGCTGACAAACCCTGAACCCTAAACCCTAAAGCCTACACCCTAAACCAGCTGTTCTGGTTGTTTTGGGGGGCATTCAGGGTTGAGGGAATGTTCAGGGGTTGCAGGTTTCAGGGTTAATGCGTTTTAGGGGTATTTGTGTAACACGTTGTTTGGGCGTGTGGGTTTCCGGGACTTCACCACCCTAAACCCTAAACTTCCCTAAGCCCTAAACCCTAAGCCCTAAACTCTGGACTCTGAACCCTGAACCCTAATCGAGTGTGGTGTTATGAAGGGTTAGTGCTCAGGGTGAGGAATATGTGTGTGTGTGTGTGTGTGTGTGTGTGTGTGTGTGGCGGGGATGAGGCTTGGGGGCCCCTTAAAGCCCCTATGAGCCCTGTTTGGCACTCTAAACTTTTACGAGGGTTCGTACTATAGCATTGATCTTTGTAGCTTTTCAGCCCATGAATTCGATTCTCCTCCCTCTGGGGCTCTTGCTTGGTCACTGGGAAAGGAATGTCATCTTCCCACTGGTACTTGGCCTCAGAAGAATTTCGGGCTTGGGTTTATGGGCCTTTGGTTTAGGGTTCAAGGAAAGGCTAGAAAATCCTAGCCTCTTCTCTAAATCCATCTTACCGGACGTAGGACTGATCTGGGGGCTTAGTAGGGTTGAGGGGGTTTGTCTGACATGGTCTTGGAAGGCAAAGTGCCCTCGCTGCAGATTCCCTAAGCCCCAAAACGCGAACTTCTAGACCCGCAACAACCACGAAAGCCCTGCAACGCCCCCAAACCCTACAACCTACAACCCTAAACCCTAAGCCCTACAACCCTAAGCCCACAGAGCTCCCAAAACCTCATGTTCCCCCAAGCGCACTTTGAGGATTTAGAGAAATTGAGAGCCCTCACCCACAACTCATGATAGGTAGGGTAGGGTTTAGGGGAAATTGCATAGTTAGCCCTTGCGTCCAGAGTTTTGGGTGCACTTTGGCTGGGTTGTTGAAAATACTGACCGGCTCGCCGGTTTTGGTTTTTGTTTCTCAAAATTGCTGGGGTCTTAGAGGGCCTTTGGGGCTTCTCTAAAAGTTGGTGCCCTCGAGCCTTTTCGTAGCCTGGTTGCTGCCGCTTTGGGATCCAACAGGCAAAGGGGTTGAAGAAAGAAGATCCACTTCGAACCTCCCTCCACCCTCCAGATTTGGAAATTGTGGGCTGTCCTACTGGGTTTAGGGTTTAGGGTTAGGGTTTAGGGTTTAGGGTTTAGGGTTTAGGGTTTAGGGTTTAGGGTTTAGGGTTTAGGGTTTAGGGTTTAGGGTTTAGGGTTTAGGGCTACTGGGCACTCCAGGGATTCTTGGGGATACGCTGGGGTTGGGCACTCGTTTCATCCCCTGTGGGGATGCTTTGGGGTGGGATACGTGTGATGGCCGAGGAGAAGAGTTTAGGGTTTAGGGTTTAGGGTTTAGGGTTTAGAGTTTAGTTTGAAATCTAACGGCCCCACACCGAGGGTGGGGAATAATTTCGGCATTTGTTGGGCTTCAAAAGCCGCTTGGAAACACACTGCAATTGCGTCTATCTTGGCCTTGAGGGAATTGGGGCTTAAGGCTTAGAGTAAGCCCTAAACCCTAACCCTAAACCCTAAAGCCTAAACCCTAAACCCTAAACCCTACACCCTAAGGCCAAGGAGCCTGGATCATGAGGCGCTGCCATCGCTGGGTGGCGGCAGCAGTCTTGTCGTCCATGATGTCGTTGATGACGTTGGTGGCCTCGGGTGGGGTTTAGGGTTTACAGTTTAGGGTTTAGGGTTTAGAGTTTAGGGTTTAGGGTTAGGGGTTCAGGGTTTAGGCGGTTTAGGGTTTAGGGTTTAGGGTTTAGGGTTTAGGGTTTAGGGTTTAGGGTTGGGGTTCGGCAATGCATTCGCCGAAGTCAATACCAAAGATCCCCGAGTCCGTGGCTCGGCTGAAGGGGTTTCGGGACCCTAAAAACCCTAAAAAACCCTAAGAACCTTAAAAACCCTAAAAACCCTAAGAACCCTAAAAACCCAAAAAACCCTAAGAACCCTAAACACCCAAAAAACCCTAAGAACCCTGTAAACCCTATAAACCCTATAAACCCTGAAAACCCTACACACCCTAAAAACCCTAAAAACCCTAGACCCTAAACCCTACAAGGCTGTCCGGCATGGAGTACTTGCAAACAACCCTGAAGCCCTAGATCGTACGCCCTCAAACCCGCGCCTGGGATGTTGCGCCCCCCCCCCCCCCCCCCCCCACCCCGATCCAAAAGCCTCCCAACCTTGAAGTCTAAGCCCTAGTGTCCCTAAACCCTAGCCCTGTACCCTGAACCCTAAACCCTAAACCCTAAGCCCTAAGCCCTCAACCCCAACCCCTAACCCCCTCACTCCCCCGGCGGAATCCTAAAGCCCGCAAAGCCCTAAACCCTAAACCCTAAACCCGAAACCCTAAACCCAAATTCCTCACCGTCCCGGCGACGTCACGGAGATCGCCAATTCCGAACTCCTGGAGCATGAACCCAAGATCGGCCTCAACAGGGTTTGGGGTTTAGGGTTTGGGGTTTAGGGTTTCGGGCAGCTTCCTCAGGGTTTAGGATTTAGGCTGAGGGTGTGTTTGGAGGTTGTTCTACTCCGAAACGGTAAACCCTAAACCCTAGACCCTGAAATTATGGCCCCTTTTTCCAGCGCAGGAGAAAACCCTAAACCCTAAACCCTAAACCCTAAACCCTAAACCCTAAACCCTAAACCCTAAAACCTAAACCCAAGCCCTAAACCGAAACCCTAAACCCTAAACCCTAAAGCCTGTCTTAAGCGGCTTCTTGTGGCCTTAGGGTTCGGGTTTAGGGAAGGTCTTCGGTTGCCTTTGGGCTGCAAGAGAGGTGCAGGAGCAACCCTAAGTCCGTTTAGGGTTTAGGGTTTAGGGTTTGGGGTTTAGGGTTTAGGGTTTAGGGTTTAGGGTTTAGGGTCCCCGAGAAGAACAGGCTCCGAAGTTGGAGGTAGAGAATTTAAACGAAGGCGAGCGATGAGTGAACCCCTCTGCCGGCGGATCTTCTTGCGGGTGTAGGAGGCATGTGCTCCCAAAAGCACCAATTAAGAATATGGGGGCACAGGGAAAACCACGTTTGGGAGAAAACCCTGTGCTCCACACTGCAGAAGTGCCATCGTGTAGCACCCCGAAAGAATGACGTGTGATCCTCATGGAGTCGTGATCCGCGAGCCATCCAGCGGCGGACCCCTTGAAACAACAGCCCCCGACCCCAGACCCGAACCCCGGAACCCAAGCCCAGAACCCGGCCCGAACTCGCCCACCAGCCCCGAAGAACCCGAAAACAGGCGGCGCTCACTGCGCGATCTCAGGAGGCGATGTAGGACTGGGAGCTCAGGGAGTCAGCCGAGACGGGTGGCCAGAAGCAGCGGTGCCAAGCAGCGGTGACAACGGGGCGGGAGCTCACGGCGCAGGCAGGTGGGCCGGGGCGTCTGCCGCGGCGGGCAAGCGCCGCAACACAGCTCTGGCGTTCTCGCGCTGGAGAGAGACGCTTAGGCTTTGTAGGAGTTGGTCGACGACCAGGCCAGCAGACTCGCCCGTCCGGGCGGCGATCAGGGAGCCGAGGGCACACCACGTTTTCATGGCAGTGGGACCCCAACCCCCGGCACAGGCCTCAGCAACCAGGGGCAGAAATTGCAAGCCTTGGGCTTCGCACTGCAGGCGCGTGCTCTGGTGGGTGCACTTGCGGTCTTCGTAACTGGCACAAGCACGCGACCCGTCAGTAGCCGAACCTGCGAGCATGTCACTGCGGAGGCTGCTGGTGACAGCCAGATCAAAGGCCGCCGGGCCGTGGAGGCCCCAATGTGGGACATAGACATCCGCAGGACGACGCCCCTGCACCGCAGGCGCAGCGCCAGCCTCGCAGAAGCCCAACTCGGTAGGGCGGGCAGGGAGCAGGCCGGGTCTCTCGATTTCCGGGGACAGACCCGCTGCTTCGGCACGGGCAGCGAGGATGCTGCGCAGCCGGTTGTGGCGCTTAATGCGGTCGCCACCGCAGGGGCACACAAGAGCATGGTCACCAAATCGGTCTGCGACCCCGTCGCATAAGGGGCAGTAACCCTCAGAAGGAGCAACAGGGAGACGCAAGCGGAGGTGGAGGAGCGTGCGGAACAGCTGCGGTTCCAGCGAAAGGCCGAGCGCTTCGGCAGGCCGCGCTAACAGCCAAGCTCCGGCTCCGGGCTGTTGCACGAGGCGGAAGTGGGCGCGGCGGGCTGCCCCGACGGCCTCGGAGATGAGGGCGTTGCCGTCAGCTTCGTCAAGCGCAGTGGACAGACTCTGTTGCCTGACAGGGTTGGTGGGGCATGGGGGAGGGCGTGCTGCGCAGCAACCGCCGCATTGAACTGGGCGATTGGGGCCGAGAGGTCGCTGCGGTAGTTGGCGTCAAGGATTTGGCAGGCAGCCTCGGACGAGGTCACAGATGCAATAAAAGTAGCGGGCGCGTGTCGGAAGGCTCGGCGGAAGCCAAGACCGCCAGTGGCAATGCGGAGGGAGGCCTGTCGCCAGGCAGCGTCGGACATGGAAAGCCCCCCGATTGTTTCGAGGCAAGAGCGCACCAGCTCATCAAAGCAGCGAAGGGCGGCATCTTGCAAGGCAGGCGGGGTGACACGCGTGCTATGAGTGACTTTGCAGAAGGAGCAGCAATGGCGAAGCAGAAGGAGTCCGGTCTGTCGGTCCGGCAGGGCGGCCAAGGCATCGAGGAGGGGACGAGCCCCATCAACACGAGTTTGGGTATGCTGGTTGCAGAAGGCGGGCCCGCCCACAGCACCGCCAAGGAGGGTAAACTTTCCACGGCGTCGGATGAAGCCAGCAGGAAGACCGCGCAGGTCGGCGCTGCTCGTGGGGTTCGTGATGACGACCTCAGATTTGCTCGGTTCCAAGACAAGGCCAACAGACCCAGCGGCGTCACTAAGCACCCCGAGCGCGCGTGAGGTCAGCCGGCTGGTGCCAGCAAGCAACAGGTCGTCTAAGAACCCGAAGCAAAGGTCAAGCGGGGCAGAGGTTGCAGTCGCAGTGAGAGCTGGCTGCAGCGTAAGCGCAAAGAGTATCGGGGCCAGCGGATCCCCCTGTTGCAACCCGCAGGAAGACTCCACAACATGCTCGCCAAAAAGGAGGCGGGAGGGCGAAGCGTAGCACCAGTCAGCCCAGCACGCCACTTCCGGCAGGTGAGCACGGGCCTCTCGCAGCATGGCGGACCGGTCAATGGTGTTAAAGGCGTTGCGGAAATCCAACTTGAGCAGGATTTTATCCGCGTGGCCAGAGTTCCAGCCATTGCCGGGCAGTGTGGATGGCGGCTTCTGTGCCACCAGGGACCCCCACCCCCAGCTGCAAGGGCCAAAGGTAGTCCCGCGCCTCCTCCCGCACCGACTGGCACAGTAACTTGCCCACAAGCCGCCGAGACACTTCCATTCGCGCCGGCCAGGGGATGGCCATGTCACAGAGACAAGGGGCGTTATCGGGCAGATGCTTGTGAATCCTCCGCCACCCCTCAGCATACACGTCAGACGTGGAGGGGCAGGCTAGAGTGGCGCAGCTCATTTCCGGGAGGTCAACGGTGGGTGCCATACCACCGCTGGGCGTAATCTCGCCTGTCTCTGCGTTAGGAGCCTGGCTTTACCTGCCAGTGGACTCAGCCCTTGCTCAAGGGGCCTACCACCATGACTCCACCCCCCGCACCCGTCCTGATTCTGCCTCGGGATCCGCTTCCCTTCGGACAGGTGGGCTTTCGCGCGCTATCCGGTGGCAAACCGGGGCCGTCGCTCATCAGAAGGTCAGCCCAGTTCCAGTATAGTGCGGTTCTGGAATTCCCGCACTCAGGTTGCGGTACTACACTGTTAGTTGGTCACAGGCGGAAAGCATGGGGCTCGGTACCATGCTCTGGACCCTCCGTCAAGGTGTTGGCATCACCTTGACTACAATCTCCCCGTCCTTTGCCTCATGTGTGCAGGGTCTGAAATCAGACCGGTGGCAAAATTGCCACGTACCTCTGCACCAGGTCTTGGACGGATCCTAGATCGTCCCCTTTTGCTCCATTTAGGGCGTCTATCAGGCAGACCAAGTCATTCTTGGCCAATCGCGTCTCAGCTGCGACTGCATCAAGCATTCCATCAGCAATTTCTGGAGATACATACCCGTAAGCCCGGTTCATGAGGTGGGCGTAGATTGCTGACATGCTGTTCTGCAGCCCGTTGTCAGTGATGAGGTGCATCAGCTTGAGCTCCCACCACTCATACTTGCGTTTACCGGTTATAATCGTCTCGTCGGTGATTCTGCCTCTGTAGTACCGGTAAATCAGCGAGTAGAATGGGAACTGCAACGGGCATTGCTCACACATCATCATGATGGAGAGCATTTTCGTCGCTGCTGCGGTTAAGAATGGGTCGTTTACGTTGAAGGTGATGGTGGCGGCCGCGAAGGTTTTTCGGAGCTTTGGAAAACTCCTCATCGCTTTTCCGTCATTGAGTGGGACGAATATCCGGCTGATGAGTTCGATGCGCTGTGACTTGTCAATAAGTTTCTCTGCACTAACCCGGCCTGTGCGGTCCTGAGGTTCCAAACTCATGCCGGCGGCAGTGTACATGACTGCCGTCATCACTCCGAGGACTTGTCGGGCGTCTTTTCCTTTCTTGTCCTTCGTCTCAAATTTCTGGATGAAGGCCCAACGAAATCCTTTGAGTCTGTCGTCCCCCTCCCCGTTCAGGAACTCTGAATCTTCCTTCGTGACATGAAGACCTTTCGAAACGCGTATGATGGTCTCCGCGAGGCGTGTCGCTTTCTTCTTGACTCCTTCAAGGACTTGGTTGATGAACTCAGGGTCATCTATCATGTTTGTCAGGAATTGAATGATCTCTTTCAAGGTGTAGACACGCATATCCCACATAGTGAAAATCCTCTCAAGCACAAAGTAAATGGAGCGGTCGACGAACCAATTGATGGCGTAATTGCCAACTGATGTCAACCCGTCTCCAGAGTACCTAATGAGGACCTCTGTGAACAGTGTTAAGGTGTCGAACAAAATCTTGTCCTTCTTTTTCCACCTTGTTTTCGAAACATTTTTGACGTCGAAAGCCTCTGGAAATTTATTTGTAACAGCCTTCATGATAGCTTCCTCGATTATCCTTCTAAGTCCTGGCTTGCTTCTGTCGACGGTGCACTTGTCAGTGATCGAAGAGTCGAAACTCCCGAAATCCGTCGATGCAAAGCCGCCCGATTTATACTCGTAGTAAAAGAGTCGGACACGCTCGCAGACACCAGTGTTGTCGGTGCCCTTGATACTGCGCTGGACAAAATAAGGTAACCGGAAGATCATCTGCTCGACTGTCTTATTCATCAAGGCCGCGGCAGCAGTGCCTTGTGGGCCTGTGTGTTGGATCAGTCTAGGCTTGATCTTCCCTAAAGCTTCATTAGGCTTCACAAACGCCTTGGTAGGCGGAAGCTTCGTCAATTCGGTGCCAGAGGCTGCCTCGAAATTGTCTTTCTTCATTTGCTCCGTGAAGCTGCTTGGGGCGATTTCGTCAACGGACTTGTGCATTGGGAATAGGGACTTCCCATGCAACTCCGAGACGATCTCGCTTTGCGGTATCTCCATTAGTTCTGTGTCCTGCCTCCGAATGGTCTCTTCATCGATCTCGAGGATGGCAGGGAGAACTTTGTCGACTACCGCATGGACAGCTCTGCGGATTAACTCCCATGGATTGCCTATTTGGTTCTTGAACGCAATACCGTCATATTCTACTTCGGCAAATTTCTCTGCATAACGCCGGTTCCCTATTTTGGCGATAGCATTCGAGTGGGAGTTGCATGCGACATGAATTGCCGTGATGTCTTTGTCTGTGACACCTGGCATGGCGATCCTCGCTTTGGCTGTCACTTGCAGCTGTTCCAAAACGTCGTCGTCAACGATGCAGGATTTTGCCTCATGCTCGAGGACAGCGAGTGCCTCCATCTTACGACCCATGTCTTTGCGTAGGTCTACCTTTTCCCAATCTGTGATGATCTGGACTCCCTCCATGGGTTTTCCAGCATCAGCAGTCGTGTAAGGGATTAGTGGGGTCCCTGGTTCAATGAACCTAGACGCACCATCTGGGTTGGAGCTCCCAGATGGTCTTTGTTCGTCTGCCGTTGGAACAGTCGCAGACGGTGCTGACGCATCAGCACTGGGCCCACTTTGCGGTCCGGTGACACGAACACCGGTCTGGGTGCCAAAATGGCGATTGGGGAGGAACTGAATGTCTCCCCCCAGGGTCAAAAGCTCCGCCCGTACAGCATGTGCCAAGTACGTCTGGTAGCTGTACTGCTTGTCTAGAGACGGCTCTTCGACTATGGCTGAATGTGTGAGGTTGATGTTAGCTAACATCCCTTTGGACTTCTCGCGATCAGAACACACCACGTGTTGTGCGCGATGTAGAAGTCTGTGGTGGTACCTCTCAACCGTGTACATAGGCCTATCTCCCGCGACAAAATGGCGGAGGGTGCATCCAGTGCACCGGTGAGCAAAAACTCGCGCCTGTACATAGCGATCGTCCTCACAGTACGGGGCGGTTGGAAAACCTGTCGGAAGACAGTAATGGCAAATTCCGCATTCACGGACTGCCATCAATTCTCCAACCTGCGATCGTCTCGACAGGCGAAATGCAATGTCCCACTGGGTGAGCACATGTGATGTAAATGACCCAATATCCCAGATCAGGCGTCTGAGGACTTGGAAAAGCATGCTAGGCTGTGGAATGCCTGTGCTGAAATACGAACCAATCGATAATAGGGCAGCACTAATGTAACAAAAATGAATGATGCCGGTGGATTTGAAAGCTGCGATTTCGAGGAAAAAGAGTGAGACGTCAAAACTTGCCTCAGCAAACCACGCAGTGGACGTGAAGAAGGAGTGCAATACTTCTTCCGCCCGTGGTTGCACGGCTCTGTTTAGTCCACTGCGTCGAACTCGACCTGAGTGAACCCGGTTCAGTTGTGCTCCCTTGCTGGACCTACACGATGACATGGGATTGATCTAGATCCTAAAGTAAAGACCCATCTTTGAGGGATCTCGATTATGATGTTTAGGGTTTAGGGTTTTAGGGTTTAGGGTTTAGGGTCTAGGGTTTAGGGTGCAACGACGGGCAAACCATGATTACAAATCCTCATGAGCTAAGCGTAATCGCAAGCCTCGGGACCACCACCCCCCCTCACGTATGCGCGCCCTTGAAGGGTTCAGTCGTCTGTTGAAAATGGCTTGAGAAGGGTTTTACAGGGACTTATGGGGTCATGCCCCCAACCCCACACCCCGACACCCAAAACACCTAAACTCCAAACACTAAACCTCTACATCCCTAAACCTCTAAACGCTACAACCCCTACACCCCTAAACCTCTAAACCACCCTGAACCCTAAACCCCAAACCACCCTAAACCCTAAACCCTAAAACCTAAAGCCTAAAGCCTAAAGTCTGAAGTCTGAAGCCTAAAGCCTAAAGCCTAAAGCCTAAACCCTAAACCCTAAAGCCTAAAGCCTAAACCCTAAACCCTAAACCCTAAACCCTAAACTTACCCTCTCACCGAGTGCCGGCGTGCCTGAGGGTCAGCCTCGATCTTGGCCAGAGCATCCTCGGCCTGATTCTGGAGCTCCTGGACCTCAGGTTTAGGGTTTAGGGTTTAGGGTTTAGGGTTTAGGGTTTAGGATTTAGGGTTTAGGGTTTAGGGGTTTAGGGTTTATTGGGGATTTTGGGAACTCCAGGATCTCAGGGCTTGGGTAGAGATTGGGGGGATTTTAGGGCTTTGGGGGTTTTGGAATCTTGGCGTTTTCGAGGGGTTTTGGGGTTTTGGGGCTTTGGGGTTTTGGGGGTTTGAGGTTTTGGGGTTTCGGGATTTTGGGGTTTTGGGGTTTTGGGCTTTTGGGTTTGGGTTTTGAGGGTTTGGGGTTTTGGGGTTGTGGGTGTTTGTGGGCCTGTTGAGGGCATTTCGAAACTATGCGGGCTTCGTGTCGGAGTGTTGGGCAGAAGTTTTGGGGGGTTTGGGTTGTGGGCTTAAGCTTCGGAGTTTTCTCTTGGACCGTTGGAAGCTTTGGGGGCGGGGCTTTTTTGGGTGACCTTGGAGGCTTCGGTGCGGGTTGGGTTTTGTTCGAGTCTTTTACTTCAACGCCGCCTTACAAACCTCTTGGAGGTTTTGAATGGTTTTCGGGGGCTTTTCTGGTGCCTTGTCGGTAATGTTGTGGTCGAATCCGGTGATGGTTGCACGTTTGCCAGTTTGGGCGGTATTCCTTTTGACAGGTCTTTAGGCAAAAAAGTCAAGCAATGTTTGCTTTTGTGGCAGATGGGCACAAGGGAAGTGGCCCAAGGCCGGATTTAGTTGGGCCGCTGCTTGTCAGACTCTAAGCATGTGGACCACATTCCTAGACATCTCGGGTGTAGGCTGTCAGATAAACAGCCCCTTTCGGGTAATCATGTTGAGGACTGCTGAAAAGCATTCCCGAATCTGATCCTAAACCGTAAACCCTAAACCCTAAACCCTAAACCCTAAACCCTAAACCCTGAACCCTAAACCCTAAAGCCAGCCGAAGCATGGTCTTTAGGGGTTAAGGCTTATTTGGGGCACTTCGGTGTTAGGGGTTCTGCGCTTCCCTCCCCTAAACCCTGAACCCTGAACCTTGCACCCTAAACCCTAAACCCTAACCCTAAACCCTAAACCCTAAACCCCAAGGGTGTGTTGGGCTTTTCGGGGGGGTTTGGGGTTCCCGCCTTGGCCTTTGCCGCCGTAACCTGGGGGTCCTTAGCGTCGCCTGAACAGGTTTAGGGTTTAGGGTCTAGGGTCGGGTTTAGGGTTTAGGGTTTAGGGTTTAGGGTTTAGGGTTTAGGGTTTAGGGTTTAGGGTTGAGGGCTTAGGGTTTAGGGTTTAGGGTCTAGGGTCTAGGGTCTAGGGTCTAGTGTCTAGGGTAGGGTTCTAGGGCTGTACTTATGGCCCACTTGTAAGCCCTTTAAGTGCCCTAATTAGGTTCTGATTGGGTTATTAGGTACCATGAACCTCCTAGTAACCTCTAAGGGCGTACACCAACAGGCATCTCGCAACCCCAACGAATGTCATCCCTGAGCCACCCTCCGACCCGCAACGTACCCTAAATCCTCAACCCTCAACCCACAAAGCCTTACCCTGCAGGTTGTTTAGGGATTTAGGGGTTTAGGGTTTAGGGTTTAGCGCTGCATTTTGTTGCTCCTCAGGGCCGGGAAGGGTCGAGCTTGGGGATTTGAAGGCTTCAGGTCGTTGAGGGTTGAGTGTTGCAGTGTTTCTAGGGCTGAGTCTCTGGGGTTTTCTAAGCCCCAAGCCCTTTATCGCTCTTACGGTTTTGGACTTGCAAGGTATAGGGTTTAGGGTTTAGGGTTTAGGGTTTAGGGTTTAGGGTTTGGGGTTTAGGGTTTAGGGTTTAGGGATAGGGTTGTTGCGCCCTGTGCCCTGTGTTTGAAGTGTGGCGCGTTGATTGAACGGTGGGTCGCAGTCCTGCTTGGGATGCGGGATTTCTCTCTTTGACTATCCACCTGCCCATATTGGGGTACCTTTCTACCCCAAATAGGATAGAATCCCTTAAGAGGACCCGCCACAAAGGGGTACCCCTGTCTTTGGAAACCCCCATCTTGGTCTTGGGTGCAGGGTTTTGTCAGTCTAAGAGGGTCCACCTGGGCACTGAGCCAACTCTTCAAGCGCTGAACCTTAAACCCAGAGCCCTCATAACTCGCACATGCTGAACCCAATCACTAGACCCTAAACCCTAAACCCTAACACCTGAAGCCCTAAAGCCTGAACCCAGCTCCTCGCCACCTTCGTGATTGCCCTGAGCAACCGCGATCGGTTCGAGCGACGTGAAGAGGATTGTTAGGAACAAAAGCCATCTCCGCAGCGTTCGCGTTGCTGGCCCACGATTCTCAAGACGTGGTCCCTGATCTCGTGGGACGTGGTGCCCGTGGCCGTCGCCTAGATCGCTGTCTCCTACTAGGAGATTCATGGTACTTAAAACCCCAATTATAACTGTACCAATAACCCAATTATCACCATATTCATTAGGGCACTTAAAGGGCTTATAAGTGGGTCATATAATGTACAGGTATAATCGGGTGATGAAGTACCATGAAGCTCCAAGTAGGCCATGATCCTGAGTATCCCCCGCAAGCTCTAACCCTAAACCCGAAACCCTAAACCCTAAACCCTAAATAGACGTCGATCGTGAGACGCCGCTCTGCATCACAGTCCTGTGGGCCGGGCTGGTGACTCGTGTTAAGCCCTAAAACCGGGAGTTGAAACCCTTTTAGCCCGAAAGCCACATCCACTTACATTTGGGTTTAGGGTTTAGGGTTTGGGGTTTGGGGTTTGGGGTTTGGGGTTTAGGGTTTAGGGTTTAGGGCTTAGGGCTTAGGGCTTAGCGACGCCCAGGGCCCACGCCGATGACGACGGCCTCCTTAGGATCCATCTCAAATGGCCCAGGGATGTGCCTCGGATTTGAAGCGGGTTTTGAGGAGTTTAGGTAGGTTTAGGGTTTAGGGTTTAGGGTTTAGGGTTTAGGGTTTAGGGTTTAGGGTTTAGGGTTTAGGGTTTAGGGTTTAGGGTTTAGGGTCTAGGGTCTAGGGTCTAGGGTCTAGGGTCTAGGGTCTAGGGTCTAGGGTTTTAGGGTTTTAGGGTTGGGGTTAGGGTCTAGGGTCTAGTCTAGGGTTTAGGGGGTTTAGGGTCTAGGGGGTTTTAGGGTTAGGGTTTAGGGTTTAGGCTTAGGGCTTAGGGCTTAGGGTTTAACGGTTTAGGTTTGAGGGACCCTAACCCGACAAAGTCCTCAAACCCATTTAGGCCCTAAACCTGCTCGCGCCTCCCCCCCCCCCCCCCCCCAAAAAAAAAAAAAAAAACACGCTTGAGTAAGTTGAGCCTGTAGCGATGATCTGATTCCTGGTTTGTTTGGGGAGGAGGAAGGGGGGGGGCTAAACCCTACACCGGGGAAGTGAGATGCAGTAGACGCCCACAAAACCATCAGCACCAACTGCATGGCATCACCCTGCGGAGCCGAAATCTCTCAATCCTAAACCCCTAAACCCTAAACCCTAAACCCTAAACCCTAAACCCTAAACCCTAAACCCTAAACCCTAAACCCTAAACCCTAAACCCTAAACCCGAAACCCTAGCCGGCAGTAAGCACCCTACACCAAGACATTGAACTCAGGCACTAAACGTTGAGGCACAGGGCTCTAGAATCTAAAGCCAAAAGTCTTGAACGACCCTGAGCCTTGAAACCATACAGCTCTCCAACCCCGACTAGGGTTTAGGGCTTAGGGTTTAGGGTTTAGGGTTAAGGGTTAAGGGTTTAGGGGTTGGGGAAAAGCCTCTTTGGATGCCGTCCGGGACGCGGAAGGCCAAAGAAGTCCGCAGCAGAGGCGGTCTGCGGGCCTGTGGTTCTAAGGGTTTAGGGTTTAGGGTTTAGGGTTTAGGGGTTAGGGTTTCGGGTTTAGGGTTTAGGGTTTAGGGTTTCGGGTTTAGGGTTGCAGGGTTTCAGGGTTTCAGGGTTGAGGGCTTGGGCTTTAGGGTTCACCCAACCCCTAAACACCAAGCCCTCCACCCAAAAACCACAAAGCCCTGAAGTCTTAAACCCGAACCCTAATGTTTTTCGGGTCTACGTACATAACTACCCTAAATGGTCAGAATTTAGGGTATGGTTTAGGGTTCACGAAGTTGAAGTGGAGGTCCCCATGTTGAGGGT